CATCAACGATTACGAGAATATGGTTCATTCGACAGGATTGTGGTCGCCATCGAGAAGTACGAACACCACAGCTTGAGAAAGTAGTACTTAATTTGATTGAAGAACAACCTACTACCAGTATTAGAAAGATTGCTTTCCAGCTAAATTTTGATCATATGTTGGTATTTCGAATTTTAAAGGAACAACTCATATACCCTTACCATCTGCAACGAGTACAGGCACTGTTACCGCGAGACTTTCCAAACCGTCTTGAATTTTGCAATTGGATTCTGGAAATGATTAGAAGGAAATGTGACTTTCTGAAGACGATAGAACTCACAGACGAATGTAGTTTTTCTCGGGACAAGATTATTAATTTTCATAATTACTACATACGGGCTGATGAAAACCCTAACGCTATTGTCGAAACTAACCATCAAGAACAGTTTTCTCTCAACATGTGGCTCGGAGTTATTGGGGATGAATTTATTGGGCCTCATTTTCTACCTCCGCAATTAAATGGTGAGGCATACGTTCAATTTTTAAGAGAAGTGCATTCAGTACTGCTGGAAGTTCCTTTGGACGTCAGAAGGGATATGTTTTTTATGCAAGATGAGGCTCCCGCCCTTTTTAGTCAAGTAGCATGTCAGCATTCATCTGAAACATATGCAAATCAGTGGATAGGTCGAGGAGAACCACAGAACTGGCCTGATCGATCCCTGGATCTCAATCCTCTCGATTTCTCTATTTGGGGCTATTTACAGCATTTGGTTTATCGTACTCCTGTTCGCAATGTAGAGGACTTAAGAAACCGCACCATTGATACGTGCAGGGTACTCAGAGAGACTCCAGGAATATATGAGCGAATACGTGGCTCAATGCGTTGACGCCTAGACGCATGCGTAATGTTTGAAGGTAGACATATTGAACATTTACTATGATTTCTACATGTTGTGTGTTTTGTTATTAATAAATTAGTTTTGTTTATTACCCTTTAATAGTTTAATGCAGGTACTAACTACAAAATAACAATAAATCCAGTTCGTATTTATGACGATGTATCTCTGTAGTTGTTCGTAAAATAATTTTTTGCTGCGAACTTGTTTATTTTGGGCAAAAAACCCAAAAGACATTTTTGTTTAGAATGAAACAGGCTATCGGAAATGAATTTTTAAATGGTAAACAAATAATAAGACAAAAAGTTACATTGGAAATAAATTTTAGGGGTTGCGTTTTCCACCCCTTACAACCATGGGGTAAACCAAATAAATTACTGGCTAAGTGTCTTTTTGGTAGTACAAAACGTCAGGTTAATTTCAATATTGTAACTTCTTCAGTGCTTGTGAAAAAAATTGTTTTACCAATTTTATGCTGTATCTTAACAAGGGATGCTCCAATGAAGTTTCTTTACATGAAAGATCCTATCTTTTTTTCGATGAGGAATCACCGCCTTAAATGTTTTACATTTATTCAGTTACACCCTGTATAGGATGTAAGATTTGTTATAGTAGTTTCGAAAAAAAATCCTTAGTAATAAACTGAAAATATTCCCAAAAAGATTTTGAACACAATTGAATACCTTCATTAAATTCTCTGAGCTACTTCGATACGAGGTGCGTTAAAAAAATAAAGTGGATTTTCATTTTTCTCAAAAAATATTCATTTATTCATCAATTTCTATTTTGTCCGCTCCAAAGTAGTCTCCCTCGGATACTTGTGTCAGCCTTTCCTCAAATCCTCAAAACGGTTCTGATATGCTCTTTTTGATAAGTCCTTGCTCTCTAGGCGATTCGGGTTTATCTCCTCAATCGTCGCAGAACGCCGTCTTTTCATGGTTCTCTTCAATCTTGGGAGCAGGGAAAAGTCGCAGGGTGCCAAATCTGGTGGATACGGTGGCTGAGGCATGATTACGGTGTTGTTTTTTCCCATAAAATGTACTTACAGGCAATGAGCTTGTTTTTCCACAATACAGTTTCGTTTTCTTCGTATTCCTTCTCGCAAACGGCGCATAATTTTAAAATAATACTCCTTACTGACTGGACGACCATGTGACAAGAACTTCTGATGCACTACGCCACCGTAATCGTAGAAAACAGTCAGCAAAACCTCGACATTTGGTCGAACTTGTCGTGCTTTTTTTGGTCTTGACTCTGCTGGGCTCTTCCATTGGGACGATTGAACTTTGGTTTCGATGTCATAATCATGTACCCATGATTCGTCACCAGTTATAACCCTTTTTAAGCAAATCTGGATTGCTGTTGACGCCATTCAACAATTCCTGAGCGAGGACCACAGATTGATGTACCGAAAACAAAGCCGTTATCATGCCTCAGCCACCGTATTCACCAGATTTGCCCCCATGCGACTTTTTCCTGTTCCCAAAATTTAGGAGACTCATGAAAGGAACAAAAAAAAACGAATCGCTGAGTGAGCTCAAGGACATAGATAGATAGATAGATAAATTTATTGATTCTTTTTGCTACATAATGTGTAGATGGGATAAGTCATAATTGTAGTTATAAACATGCATACATATAAACATACAAAGGTACACACACACATATAAATACAATTCTAGGTCTAGATAGAATGAAAGTAAACTAGGTTTCACAATAAAAATCATCTAAAAGAACAATTCGTTCACTGACTACTGACTATACCCACTGACTATACGTGAAAGTTCACAATAAAAATAATTTTGTCCAGGCATCACATAAAATCTTATGTGCCAATATACCAAAAAGTACATATCAGAACTGCTTAGAGTATTGGAAAAAACGCTGGCACAAGTGCAAATGTTTCAGAGGTAAATGGGTTAGGTTGGGTAAGGTCCAAAGTGAGTGAGTCTTTTCGACCCTCCACTGCAACCCGCAAGGGTTTATTATGGCTCACACTCATTCACACTCGACCAAATAAACCCAGCTTCTCAACGACGCTGATTAGTTTGTATGGTGAGTGGTCTTTCAGGTCACATGGTAAGAATACGGCTCTGCCGAACTCTAAAAACCTGATTCGGTCCCCAGCGGGGCAGGCACAAAGTATGTGCTCTGCTGTTTCGTCATTTTCCAAACAGAGGCGACACACATTCTGTTGGCAATCCTGTTTCTGTGAAAGCCTTCATTGACGCCACTTGTGTAAAAAAAGGCACTGATCCACCATGTTACTATGCTATTCGTCCGGACTCTAGTAGGAAAAGCTTCACGTCCGGCTTCAACACAGTGCCATTGGGTCATGAAATTTACTATGTTCCAGGTTAGTAAGAGAACAAGAAGCACGAGAACAATACTAAACAATTTTATTGTTTTCCATATATCTAAAAACACCGGTTACCTTGTGAATATCCAATTCGTGTATTATTCAGGTCGGAATATTCTTGGACATAAGATGGATATTTATTAGATATCCCTGAATGGACTTGAATTATACGGTATACTCACCTACAGACTCACTGACTGACTAACTCACTGACTGACTAACTTACTGACTGATTGTTTCACTGACCCACCGACTGACTGACTCACTGATGGACTGACTTACTGACTCACCAACTCACTGACTCACGGACTCACTGATCGACTGACCGACTCACAGACTGTCTCACTGACACACTGACTGACAGACTAACTCACTGTCTCATTATCTGACTGACTCGCTGATAGACTGACTGAATGAGCAACTCACTGACAGACTGACTGGCTGGCTCTCTGACCGACCGACTCACTCACTGATTGATTGGCTGACTGACTCATCGACCAACTGGCTGATTTTTTCTTTGATCGATTCACTGACTGGCTGACTCACTCACAGACTGACTGACTGACTCGGCGAGTACCTGACTGATTCACTGACCGACTGACTCACTGACGGACTAACTCACTGACTGTCTCACCAACTGATTGGCTAATAGACTCAATGATTGACTGACTAACGCACTTATACATTGACTCACTGTCTAACCGACTCACTGACTGACTGACTGACCCACTGATCGACTCTCAGATTGACTCACTGTATCACCGGCTGACTCACTCACTGACGGATTGACATGCCAGTTGCTTCACCGACTTACGGAAACAAATATTGACTGACCGACTAACAGACTCACTGACTTGCCGACTGACTCATTTACTGACTCACAGTCTCATTATCTTACCAACTCGCAGACTGACTCACTAATTAACTGACTCACAAACTGTCTGACTCATTCACAGACTGACTGATTCTGAATGAGAATTGAGAAAATGTGGAAGAATTTTGAAACCACGTTTACGTCTATACTTCAATAAATTATTAGTGTTGCAACCTTTATTTATTTATGTTATTAGTTTAACATTTTGGCTTTATTTGATTCTGTTGTATTATCGTGTTACTCGGTCATTCAAATCAGAAACTCTACTAAACATTTTCACGAACTGTTTTTTAAAGTTCCTCCGAATTTACAGGCCAAGAACATAGAAGTTATTTCGATAAGGAAACTGAAGAATGTCCTGATGTTTTCTGCCACAGTCTTTACACTTTCAGAAATTTGGGTAAAAAAATTGCACGCCCTGTATAGCATTTGATTGATGTGTTTTGAAACAACACCCTATATATCTTATAATTTTTCGAGAAGCAGACTTTTACGTTGGCAGCCATGTTTTATTTACCGCTGCACACATCCTGTATACTCAATTATTATTGTTCTCTTATCATTCCAAGCACGCTCGACTTGTTATCATTAAACACGTAAGAAAACACTGATAAACCACTTTCGACCCAGTTCTTTCATAGCTGCTCTACTGACTCTTCACAAACCGAACCAATTTTTGTTCTACTATTTGCACTCTTCCTTGGTACTCTTTCATTCCTTTATGAGTTGAAAGAATAACAGTTCAAAGTCAATATTCAAATATTTCATCGTCTATATGTTGATGTAGTTGACGGGGACTAAATAATATTTCACCAAAAGATATTCAATTGTTAGTCAGCGTATTAGATAACTGGATGGAAAATGAAGTCAATTAATTATTCACTTATTTCAGTACTATACTGGGGAATGGTCAGAAAACCAACCACACGGTTACGGAGAGTATTTCTGGGAAGTTATCCACAATATATCGTTTTGTTTTCCTTCATACAACTGGTACAAAGGTTCGTGGGAGAATGGTGTCAGGAACGGGATAGGTATGAAGTATTATATTTCAGTTTTTCTACCAGTTGATTGTACATTTAAAATATTGAATACGTTCTTTAACATCACATGCAGAATTTGCAATCAAACCTCAATAGTTAATTCACGTAGAGAGGAGAACAAAATCGTCTCCTGCTACCCTGAAATTATTTCAAGCATAGATTTGCTTCCTATCTTTTAAATTTAAATGAAACAAAGTGTGTGCGAGATATCATCGGAATATTTTATTCGTTCGAAAGACCTATTGAGGACATCCAAGTTTCCATGACTCTGGCGCATAAATCAGGCTGAGTTTGACCGATGGCTTGGGTTATGTTGGCTTCGAGGACCCTTGTGGTTTGTGGCTCATTCGGATACACCTGCGATTTGAGAAAACCCCACAATAAAAAGTCAAACGTAGTCAAATCGAGCGATCTTGGTGGCCAGTTCACACCACCTCTATGTGAGATGAACATGCCCTCAAATCGTACAGAATATCCAATGTGGCATGAGCTGTGTGGCACGTAGCGCCGTCCTGTTGAAACCACATGTCGTTGGTGTACAGATCATCGAATTCAGGCCAAAAGAAGTTCGTAATCATCGGCCTACAGTGCTCGCTGTTGACAGTGATGGCCTGGCCAACGTCGTTCTCGAAGAAATATTGACCGAGAATGCCGCCAGCTCATAATCCACACCACACAGTGACTTTTTCGGGATGCATTGGACGCTCTTGGATCTCATGTGGATTAGTATCGTCCCAAATTTTTTACATTTACGTACCCATTTATCCAAAAACCAACCTCATTGCTGAAGATGATTTTTCGATCGTTGCCAACTGACTTAGGACCCATTCAGCGCACACACGTCGTTGTCAATGGTCGTTTACCTTCAGTTCCAGGCTCAGTTGAATTTTGTATGGGTAAAGGCCCAAGTCACGACGCCAAATTCGCCAAGTTGTGGTCTGCGAAAGGCCGATCTCTTGTGAGCGACGCGAAATCGACTGTCTCGAGGATTCTCCTGTACACTCTCACAGACAGCGGCGATGTTTTCTGCAGATCTTGCGTTTTGTCGACGTATGGGTGTTGGTCGATCGTTTACTGAACCAGTGGACACAAATTTATCCACCACATCGCGAGAATAGTGCTCTTGGTAGGACGGTTATGGCGACCGTAAAATGGGCGAAGCGCGCGGTACGTTGTCCGGTGATTTGGCAAAACAGACTGAATAAATGACATCTGACACAGGTCAACAGTGTTTTTGTCACATGAACTTTCTGATGTGTTTTGTTTATGTTGACCTACCCCCATTAAAAATATATAATAATTTTGTTTCAATCACATCCAGTTTTTGTGACAGCTATATATTCATGTCTGACCTAATATACGTCATTCAGGTGGCTGTATAACTATTGCATCAGCTAACATACATTTTATTTTCGTTAGGTACATTGCAAATATGCAACGAAAGTTTTGAAAAAAAATCTTTTTTACATTCTTTTTACATTCCTGCGTCGAAATTTCACCCCATCAATTGAACAGTGCTTTTAAGAATATTTTGGATTTACTGTGCAGCATCAAGATAAATTCTGGGTCCCAGATAAATGTTGTGTAACGTGTGTGAGACTCCTATTAGTTTGGGCTTTTATTTGAGTCAAACAAAAATAAAAGGCATTACAACGGAGTCCAAACATACTATCCAGTATCCATGCTTGTCTTCGGCCAACGGACCCATCTTACTTAGTCTCGAACTGCTTTTGCCGAAGCCTCCAAATCGACCAGAAAGTCGGGATTCCAGTCCGAAAGAACATGTTCGCATGAGGAATATGAAGATACTGACCCAAGTTATGAACCGCAAATACAAAGTGATTTTAACGATTTGGTACGTGATTTGAATTTGTCTAAAAAACAGGCTGAGCTTTTGGGGTCTAGATTAAAGGACTGGAATCTACTTTCAAAAGTTTCTCATTTTCGACATTGTGACGATGAAATAAAAGCTTACTGTAACTGATTTTAGTCCATTGCCATAATATTTATGTTGTGATAAATTTATTGAATTTTGAAGATGATCCAAGTCACTGGCGATTGTTCATTGACTTCTCAAAAACTAGTTTGAGAGCAAATTTGCTGCATAACAGAAACTAATACCCTTCAGTGTCGGTTGCTCATGGTTCTGCCTGCTATGGAAGAGACATACGAAAATGTGAGATTTCTTCTTGAACAAATTAAATACAATGAACCCGCTTTTAAAATTTGTGGTGATTTAAGTTATTTTTTATTTGCTTGGACTACATGTTGATTACACAAAATTTTGCTGTTTTATTTGCGAATGGGACAGCAGACAGAAAAAGTTACTATTAAAATAAAATGTGGCTAAAGCGTAAGTTACTTACTCCAGGCCGTATAAATGTCAAAAATAAGTCTTTAGTGAACCCTGATGACATACTTTTACCACCGTTGCACTCGGTCTGATGAAAAAATTTGTAAAAGCTATACGCAAAGATGTCGTCAGTGGATTTTTATATCTAAAAAAGAAATTCCGCAAACTCAGCAGCGCGAAAATTGAAGGGAGAATATTTGTAGGCTAACAAATACGACAAATATTCACGAAAATCATAAATATTTATTGTACAGTTAGTAATAATTTCTCTGATTATAGTTGATTTTTGTAATTTTCACCAAAATATATGCTTTGATGTCAAGACAAAAACCTGTTGTGTCAATTTTTTTCATTGATACAATAGTGGTTAGTGACCCTAGTAGATTCAAAGTTTGATATAAGTTTTCATGTGACAAAAAACAGTTAAAATGTTGTTGACCAGTGTGATTTGACTAATGGCCGTTATCAATTGTTAAAGTTCGAAAATCTCGCTTGTAAGGCCCTTTATAGTATCCATACGATATCAGCACTTGAGTTACACCTTTCCGAGTGAGCATCTGTGAAATTTCTGTAGGTAACATTCAAGCTTTCTAAAACAAGTTGACTATTGAGTCATCATTAGTTTTTCACAACAATTCAATGTTTCAACATACGAGGTCCAGTTATTAAATAACGAGACTGCGTGTCAAGAGGGTGCTATAGATGGTTGGGGAAAAAACGATTAGTGCCTTGGGTATCTGGAAATCTTCTCTCTTCACGTACCAAAACACATTATTATAGTATTTGTGCAGTAGCGGTTTGAAACGAACGTGTTTTTTCTCGTGCCGAAAACCATGTGTGACGAAAAACAGGAGCAACGTATCAATCTCAAATTTCTCGTTAAATTGAAAAAAAACTCCGTTAGGGCGCCAAAAATTGTTGCAAGAGGCTTATGGGGACAATTCTCTATTTCGTGCTCGTGTTTTTGAGTGGCGTAAGCGCTTCAGTGAGTGCCGAGAGAGCAAGAATGTCAAAATCAAAATTCAAGGCAATGTTGATCGTTTTTTTTTAAACTAACGGTATCGTGATGACTGAATGGGTTCCAGAGGGTCAGTTTTGGCAACATTGCAAGAACGAGTTCGTAAGAAACGGCCCGAGTTGTGGAAGAACAACTCGTGGATTTTGCACCAGGACAATGCACCTACCCATAACGCGCTATCTGTGTATTTGGCCGATAAACGCACTCCAGTGCTCGAACACGCGCCGTACTCGCCAGATTTGCCACCGTGCGACTTTTTTTTGTTTTCGAAGATGAAATCTGCTCTGAAAGGGACCCGATTTCAGTCGAAGGAAGCGGTAAAGCAAAAAACGGTAGAGTTCCTAAAGGCCCTTACCAAAGAAGACTTCTAGCACTGCTTCGATCAATGGAATAAACGTATGGGGGGAGGAGGAGAGTATATTGAAGAGGAGCATTCTAATGTAGAATAATTTGTATAATAAACCCTTTTTCGTAACCAGTGTCGTTATTTAATAGCCAGACCTCGTAGTGATATTCAAAAAACCGATTCCCAAGTGATATCACTGAGAAGATTGTAGAGATACATTCTTATTGCTTTCTTAAAAAAAAAGAGGTGAAATGAACAGTAGATTCGTGTATAATAATAATAATACTGACAAAATGGTTAAGGATTTTACAGCCGAGGTTTCTAGTGTCACTATTTTCATTCCGGATATTATCTAACATAAGATTTATACTATGTAGTACATGGGGATTTATACTATCCAGTGTTTGTCACACAACTGTAGTACATTCCAGAAAACATGGATAAAATAAGAGGTGCATGCAGCGTTCGATAGACCTCCCAAACGAGGTAACGAGTTACGCCACATTATTGTTGATATCTTGACATTTTCAAGAGTTAAGAGGGGATACTTTTACGTCCACACGTTGTATACATGATGAACCTATATTTCTTGGAAAATAATAATTTTTATCCTTACGTTTTGCAGGATCGGCTCTGTCTGATTATTTGGATGTCGTCCCAATGACAGCCGTTTATCGTTTGTACCTGTCTGTTGGCAATCCTGTTTCTGTGAAAGCCTTCATTGACGCCACTTGTGTAAAAAAAGGCACTGATCCACCATGTTACTATGCTATTCGTCCGGATTCTAGTAGGAAAAGCTTCACGTCCGGCTTCAACGCAGTGCCATTGGGTCATGAAATTTACTATGTTCCAGGTTAGTAAGAGAACAAGAAGCACAAGAACAAAACTAGACAATTTTATTGTTTTCCATATATCTAAAAACACCGATTACCTTGTGAATATCCAATTCGTGTATTATTCAGGTCGGAATATTCTTGGACATAAGATGGATATTTATTAGATATCCCTGAATGGACTTGTATTATACGGTATACTCACCTACAGACTCACTGACTGACTAACTTACTGACTGACCGATTCACTGACCCACCGACTGACTGACTCACTGATGGACTGACTTACTGACCCACCAACTCACTGACTCATCGACTGACCGACACACATACTGTCTCACTGACACACTGACTGACAGACTGACTCACTGTCTCATTATCTGACTGACTCGCTGATTGACTGACTGAATGGGCAACTCACTGACAGACTGACTGGCTGGCTCTCTGACCGACCGACTCACTCACTGATTGACTGGCTGACTGACTCATCGACCAACTGGCTGATTTTTTCTTTGACTGATTCACTGACTGGCTGACCCACTCACAGACTGACTGACTGACTCGTCGAGTACCTGACTGATTCACTGACCTATTGACTCACTGACGGACTGACTCACTGACTGTCTTACCAACTCATTGGCTATAATAGACTCAATGATTGACTGACTAACTCACTGATACATTGACTCACTGCCTGACCGACTCACTGAGTAACTGATTGACCCACTGATTGACTCACCTATTGACTCACTGTATCACCGGCTGACTCACTGATTTCCCGACTGACTCACTCACTGACGGATTGACTTGCCGACTGACTCACTTACTGACTTACAGTCTCATTATCTGACTAACTCACAGACTGACTGACTAATTAACTGACTCATAAACTGACTGGCTCACTGACTGTCTGACTAACTCACACACTGACTGACTCATTGACGGACTGGCCGACTGACTCACTGACTGGGAAGATAATCGCACAGCCGCTTGCACATAGATGTTTCACATAAAAAATACCAGAACAGAACTGGTTCTAACTTGTTCGTGTATTATCATAAAGAAAATATCTATCTATTGAAACTTTAGTTCTCTTTTAAAATTGTTTTCTGAATATGGAATATTCAATAATCTCTGAAGGGATATTTAATGGTGCTACTTTATGCTGTTGCAGTTGTATTACTGGTCGTGAGTTGGTGCTATATTAGTCTTCAAAGCGCCTAGACAAAATGCTGAAAAATATCCGTTTATTGAGGCAGCAATGATTTTGAATGAGAATTGAGAAAATGTTTACGTCCATAGCTCAATACATTATTAGAGTTGTAACCTTTCATTATTACTTTAATATTTTGGCTTTATTTGATTCTGTTGTATTATTGTGTTACTCAGTCATTCAAATCTGAAACTCTACTAAACATTTTCACGAACTGTTTCTTGTACGTGAAGTGTTATATTTGTTTTCAATTGAGTTTTTAAAGATCCTCCGAATTTACAGGTCAAGAACATAGAAGTTATTTCGATAAGGAAACTGAAGAATCTCCTGATGTTTTCTGCCACAGTCTTTACACTTTCAGAAATTTGGGTAAAAAAATTATTCTGCGTTGTTTGCGTGGGGTATGCCCAAAAATCCTATGTGCCAATCGAACAAACGTTAACTGGAGATATGAACTAACTTTCCTCGAATTCTATGAAGTGATATTGAAATGTATTTACGTCAAAGCTGAGGAAAATAGGAAAGTAGAAGAGAAACTTCTCCAGGCTACAAGGGCAATGTCGATGGAAAAGCAATTAACTTCTTTCGTATCCAGACTGAAGGACAGGCCTACAAAAAGGAAAAGGTCGAGGAAATCCATTGCGGGATCTAATTAAATGATTTATTACAAAATATCGAGTCGCTTCTTTTTCCTTCCTTTTTTGGTACATCATATCTCATAAGTATTAGTAAATTATTTGTCCAAGAATGAATCAAGTGACAGTTTCCAAGGTATTCGGGAAATAATCCCCATTTTTTTGGAAAAAAAGCTTTTTATCCTTCTAGCCAAAAAGCTTTTTCCCAAAAACTTTACTAAAAATATTCACTTTTCAGTTTAGATCCCTTAAATACAGTGATATTTTTTAATATATTGAGATATCAAATACTTCAACAAGTATTTTACGTGTTTCATTGTGTCGGAATATACGAGTTCTGTTGAAAATATCAAGTGAATGTTCAAATTTCGCGGAGAAGTAGATTCGATCAGCAGTTTTATGTATGTTGGCACATCCGTCTCGAACATATGCTAATTGTGTGAAAACTGTAATTAAGTGCCCAAAAAACATTTGAAATGTTGACAGTGGCATATGGCGATTGTACTCTTGAGTCAAAAAAATGTTTTCACAGAAGGTCGAGACTTTTTTCTTCGATTACTGTGGCGTAGTGCATCAGGAGTTTTTGCTACATAGTCGTATGGTCAATGAGGCGCATTATCTTGAAGTTAGGCGCCGCTTGCGAGAAGCAATACTGAGAAAAAGTCCGGTATTGTGGAAAAACAAATCATGGCTTTTGCATCACGATAATGCACCTACTCACCGTTATCATTCCTCAGCCACCGTATTCACTAGATTTGGCTACCTGAGATTTTTTCTGTTCCAAAGATTGGAGAGACCCATGAAAGGACGGTGTTTTACAACGATTGAGGAGATAAAAACCGAATTGCTAAGAGAGCTCAAGAACATACCAAAAAGTGCGTATCAGAACCGTTTGACGTTTGGAAAAAACGCTGGCACAAGTGTATAATATCGGAGGACTACTTTAAAAAGGTATAAAGTAGAAATTGATGAATAAATGAATATTTTTTGAGAAAAATTACTACCTTATTTTTTCAACAGACGTATATATCAGAAGACAAACCTTTTAGCAAATCTGCTGGAACTGAATTTCATAAGGTTAGTTTAGGTCCAAAGTGAGTGGGTCTATTCGACCCTCCACCGCAACCCGCAAGGGTTTATTTGTGGCTCACACCTATTCACACTCGACCAAATAAACCCAGCTTCTTAATGAAGCCGATTAGTTTGTATGGTGAGTGGTCTTTCAGGTCAGATGGTAAGAGGGGTCATAAGAGATTGAAATATTGATTTTTGATGAGTATGAGAACTTTGTTGTATACTAAATCATCTATTCTTATTTTATGAATGTATCTGTGACCAATACTGACTGGCTGACTCACTCACAGACTGACTCAGCGAGTGAGTGACTGATTCACTAACCAACTGACTGACTGACTGTCTTAGTGACCAACTGACTCACTGATGGCCATTGAGAAAGCAAAGACATCATGTATTCTTATTTTATGAATGTATCTGTGACCAATACTGACTGGCTGACTCACTCACAGACTGACTGACTGACTCTGCGAGTGAGTGACTGATTCACTGACCAACTGACTCACTGACGGCCATTGAGAAAGCAAAGACATCATGTATTCTTATTTTATGAATGTATCTGTGACCAATACTGACTGGCTGACTCACTCACAGACTGACTGACTGACTCTGCGAGTGAGTGACTGATTCACTGACCAACTGACTCACTGACGGCCATTGAGAAAGCAAAGACATCATGTATTCTTATTTTATGAATGTATCTGTGACCAATACTGACTGGCTGACTCACTCACAGACTGACTGACTGACTCAGCGAGTGAGTGACTGATTCACTGACCAACTGACTCACTGACGGCATTGAGAAAGCAAAGACATTACGACCCAAAGTCGTAATGTCTTTGCTTTCTCAATGATGAGAAATTCGAAGATATTTTTTATACCTCCAGATACTTTAAGTCAAGTAACTAAGTACTTTCATTAGAGGCACTAATACTTGAATCACTTCAATTATTGTATGTATGTATATAATATCATAAAACGTGGTATAGCAAAAACGCATCTGACATGGAATAACAAAAAAAGGTAAATGACAGCTAAACGTAATTTTGTCAACAGATATTCCTGATGTCATTAGATTTAGCTACTGTTCGTGCGAGATCCAACATTGCGCTTGCAGTTGCTTCTTCTGGAATTGCAGCCACATTCAAACTATTGAAGAATAACATGTAATCTTTCAAAAAACTCCGCAATGGCCAAAGTTTTATCAGCATCGAGAATTATCATATGGGACGAATGCACAATAGCGCACAAACGTGTATTAGAAGCACTTAACCGAACATTGAAAGATTTACGCAATGACTTGAGATGTTTTGGAGGTGCAATGATTTTACTGTCTGGCGATTTCCGTCAAACACTGCCAGTAATTCCAAGATCAACGCCTGCCGACGAAATAAACGCTTGCCTCAAATCATCGAATCTATGGCGCTATGTGAAGAAACTTCAGCTCTAAACAAACATGAGAGATGTAATGTAATCACCTGCTGAAGATTTCTCTGAGCAATTGCTGACTATCGGTAATGGTGGAGTACCGGATTGATTTCATTTCCTCAGAATTTCTGTAACTTTTTCTCATCTAAAGGCGAACTTATCAGAAAAGTATTCCCAAACATAATTACTAACAACAAAAATAATGAATGGTTGAGTGAGCGAGCAATTTTAGCGGCTAAGAATAAAGATGTAGATTTTCTTATTAGTCAGTGGGCTATGCTTGAAGACTGGCACAATAAACAAATCTAAAGAAACGAACTTTAAAGGTTCAAGTCACTCCCGATATACCTACACTGTAGGTTGAATGGACTGACGCCTTTCAGAAAACAACTACTCTCCTGGCTAATACCACGAAGGGCGTTGAATTATATCCGACAGGCGTCAGTCAGAAATCTTCACAGAAAATTTCCTGCATATGCAATTGGCAATACAACTGAAGGAATCGACCTTCACAATTTTGGAACTGGCACACTTGCAGGCCGGTTTCGGGCTCATTAGCCACTCGTCAGTGCAAGATAGTGACCATCATCGACCTAAAGTCAATGATATTCCATAATTGAAAATCGGAATTCTTTCAGAGTATTTCATTCCTCTTCCGAAGTTGGAACGAACATCACCAAATGTCACTCCATCTAGTGGACAAAGTACCAACCAACTGCAAATCTGTAATTTGCCCAATTCCTCTGAATAAGGAAGAGAACTTTCTTCAATTCGATATGCCGTTTGAGTTTAAAATAATTCAATTTCCAATTCGTCTTGCATTTGCCATGACCATTAACAAATCACAAGGCCGATGATGGTCACTATCTTGCACTGACGCGTGGCTAATAAGCCCGAAACCGGTCTGCAAGTGTGCCAGTTTCATAATTGAAGGTCGACTCTTTCAGTTGTATTGCCAATTGCATATCGTCAGTCCATTCAACCTACTATGTTGGTATATCGAGACTGGCTTGAACGTTTAAAGTCCATTTCTTTAGATTTATAAAGATGTAGATGACTTAAACTACATAATTCAGAATGATATCATTGGAACAATGCATTCATTCAAATCAATTGACTGTGTAACAAATGAAGATGAAGCCACCAACTATCCAACTGAATTTTCAAACTCCTTGGATGTGCTTGGCAAAGGAAAATTCGAAGGTGAGGAAGTTCTCTTTCCGGGGATCCCAACCGTTATGCCGTTTGGATTTAAAAGACTTCAATTTCCAATTCGTCTTGCATTCGCCATGACCATTAACAGATCACAAGGTCAATCCTTGAAATCGGGCTCATTAGCCACTCGTCAGTGCAAGATAGTGACCATCATCGACCTAAAGTCAATGATATTCCATAATTGAAAATCGGAATTCTTTCAGAGTGTTTCATTCCTCTTCCGAAGTTGGAACGAACATCACCAAATGTCACTCCATCTAGTGGACGAAGCACAACCAACTGCATATCCGTAATTTGCCCAATTCCTCTGAATAAGGAAGAGGAAGTTTTTCAATTCGATATGCCGTTTGAGTTTGAAAGAATTCAATTTCCCTTTTGTCTTGCATTCGCCATGACCATTAACAAATCACAAGGCCGATGATGGTCACTATCTTGCACTGACGAGTGGCTAATAAGCCCGAAACCTATCTGCAAGTGTGCCCGTTTCAGAATTGAAGGTCGATTCTTTCAGTTGTATTGCCAATTGCATATCGTCAGTCCATTCAACCCACTGTGTAGGTATATCGAGACTGACTTGAATGTTTAAAGTCCATTTCTTTAGATTTATAAAGATTTAGATGACCTAAACTACATAATTCAGAATGATATCATTGGAACAATGCATTCATTCAAATCAATTGATTGTGTAACAAATGAAGATGAAGCCACCAACTATCCAATTGAATTTTCAAACTCCTTGGATGTGCCTGGCAAAGGAAAATTCGAAGGTGAGGAAGTTCTCTTTCCGAGGATCTCAACCGTTATGCCGTTTGGATTTAAAAGACTTCAATTTCCAATTCGTCTTGCATTCGCCATGACCATTAACAGATCACAAGGTCAATCCTTGAAAATTTGTGGTCTGAATCATGTTTTTCACATGGTCAATTATATGTGGCATGTTCACGGGTCGGAAGACCATCTGCGTTGTTTATACTTACGCCTGATAATAAAACAAAAAATGTCGTGTATCACAAGGTGTTTAACTGAAGAGTGCAACCTAATAAAGGATAATTGAAATACTTGATTAATGAAAAAACTAAATTAATAAAATATAAAATGTGCTTTTTTATTGCCTCTAAGGCGGAACGAAGTTGGCAGGGTCAGCTAGTTATTAAATATATTTTCAAATTGAAGTACAGATGGTACTCAAAATCTAAATACTCAACTCTGGGTTACTGGTACTTGGAATTTTCATTCTGAGTACTTCCTGAGTACAAAAAAACAGGCCATTCAGTGCAAAGTTCATTTCAATACTAAAGTACTGAGGCAAATACTACATGCCTACTACTTGAAAAAAAATAGTCCTTGAAACAGAATACTTGAGTAAATCCATGACAATTTTATTTAAAACTTGCTACAGTAACTGATGAAGCTACACTGTAGTGAAACGCGATTCAAATTTAGTTTATTGTGAAAATTCTAAAATTATCATCATGGATTAATTTTCAAGCATCCGATTAGAGTATTCATAACTAAAGTAAATGGTTAGCAATGTTCAATGTTCACATGAAAGTAGTTGTTTTTTGACGGCTTTTTCTTCCAGTTTGTGTTTGAAAGTTACTTCTTTGCATCATCTACACATTGTATAGAGTTTTTTTTTAATTGATTTCTTCCTTCTTTTCTTTGGTAGATTCCCAGTTTTTTTTTGTATAAAGATAGAAGTAGACAGCGACAATCCTTCTTTCCCAAAAATGATTTATACTTGTTTTTTTAATGTTGAATAACAGCAGATTTCCATCACACCAATACTGAATTTCTTTGAGGTCATTACTAATGCTTTTTCACTCAAAATGAAACACAATGTGAAAACAAAATCTTCTATAAATTTTGACATAATAAAATAACACTGTATTTATATATTTTATATCTTCAGAGCAAACTAAAAAGTACTGATAAATATTTGAATGCCATCAACGGCATGTAACAATTTTATCACGATTGAATCAACTCATCTGGACAGGGGCTGTGTTTCCCTAATCAACCACTCCAAAGCTTCTGTTTGTCCTTGCTGCTCCAATATCGGCCCAACAATATTTCTACACTTCTGGTGATATTCATTCAAACATTTGATCTCGGTATCTGTTAGCATATCAATCACTATGAGCTTGTTCATTTTGGGAACCAAAGTTATCGTGTTGAATGTCAAGTATCCACGATTGTTGAAGTTATGAGGTGGCTGGGCTTCCACAACTTCAATAATGTCTTCTATGCGCAATCCAAATTCTCCGTCCTGATAGTATCCGGGTTCGTTGGAAATGAACATTCCAGGCTCGAGGCCAGGATCTTCGTTTACTTGCCTCCAAGAGATAGCCATTGGTCCCTCATGCACATTCAGGTAAGAGCCTATGCCGTGACCAGTGCCATGGACATAATCCAGTCCGACCTCCCATAGGAATTCTCTAGCGAACGAATCAAGGTAATTACCTGAAAATGTCAACCGTTAGTAACAAGATTCTACCGTCACCAAAATGGAGTAAACTCATTGAATAAGTTTCTTGTCAAGTCCCAAACGAAATGTTTCGCATCGATTCATTTTATTGTCAATTGGGTCTTACTTTACGTTTGTATATTGACTCATTCAAAATTGCATAGTGAGAAATTCGATAACTATCCAATCTGTCGATTTCAATCGGTTTTTAGAAAACTGAAAACTACAGACTCAGGTATTCTCAAAGAAGAATTCCGATCTCTTCGTCGATCCATCAAAACAAAAATCAACTTAGCATACAGAGAATATGAAAATAAATCTGAAAGGGCAATCGAAGGAGATCCTACCAATTTCTGGTCGTACATTCAAAATAAGAAAGGTACATCAAGAATTCCTAGTATTCTATTCTGGGACGATGTTGAATANCCATATCTAAAAAAGTTGCTGAAAAGTATGGAGTAAAATTCTCACCTCTAATTTTAGATGGAAAAATCCTTGTTCCCAATTTGAGTTGGCCTTTCAGAACCCTAGTGTAGCACTCCATTTCGAATGGAGTGGGATTTCCAAAATGCAAAGTTCTTGTAACATCAGTGGTACCATCAAGAAACTGAGCACCCGAATCACACAGATACATCTGGTCAGGAGTTATCTGTGCATCAGTACTTTCGTTTGGAGTGTAGTGGATTATGGCCCCATGTGGTCCTACCGAGCTTATGGTAGGAAAACTGGGGCCAACAAAATCTTTTTGCATTTTCCTGAACTCCAGTAGTTTTTCGGAACCTGAGATCTCGGTTATTTTGGAAGTTCTGACGTTCTTCTCTAGCCAGGAGAAGTAGCAACATAACGCTACCGCATCTTTGATATGTGCATTACGCATTCCTTTGACTTCCACTTCATTTTTAACGCCTTTCATATAGCAAACTGGAGTGATATCTGTCAGCAACAGGTGTTTGCTAGGTATCAAACTAGTCAGAGCAAAACTTGCGAACTCCGAGAACCAAATGTAGCCTTCTACTTTATTTGACAACTGTTTCAGGTATTCTTCAATCTGATCATATTTTTCTATGTGGAATACATCGCCAGCTTCGGAAATCAAGTGGTCTCTCACACTATCTGTGGCCTGTTTCTCGTTCAAAAATACCTTGAAAGAATTTTCAGATATTATGACATAGGAAAAGAAGACAGGATTGTATGCAATATCGGATCCTCGCAAATTCAAGAACCAAGCTATTTCGTCGAGAGCTGTGAGAACCAAGTGTTCTACATACTTCTCCTTCATTTTTTCGTTGACGTCTTTCAGCTTTCGTCCTACAGATTTGCCGCTGTAATTGAGAGGCAGAGGTATTACTGGATTTGTTGGTCGGGAGGGTCGGTCGGCCCATAATAGGTCTACTAAATTGACAGAAATTGGTACTAGTTTATGTCCAGCTAACTCCAATTTATTTTGCAGTGGAGTATAGTCACGAAGGGGATAAACCTTCGGGTCGACTCCTATTTTGGAACCTCTGGGTAAATTTTTAGCCAACCAATCTCCTGAAACAAAAATGTTATATGAAGTATTAAGCTGCATTTACTAAAAGTATTTTTAAAAACAGAACAAACAAATTAGGCACATTCTGAATCATTAGAATATTTCTCTGGTGCAATTCAACATTATTATTTATTCTCCTTGGCTCAACAATTGAGAGAACATATTTTCAAATATCAGCTAGATACAACATGCATCATTTGATTTTGTATGCGGCAACTATTTGATTAGTCACAAGAGATTATTGTAATGTTTGTAAAACATGGTTTTTATCACTTGAACAATTGAAATAAGTTTGTTGAGCTCTTATATGAACAATTTATAAAATTTATTTGAGCAGCAGACGTTCGTGATATTCCATCAAATTTATTTTTTGAACATATAATGAATGTATCTTCAGAGTCTACGATTGTTTGCATTTCTCTACATTGGACCCACCTACTTTTCCTCTGAGGACTTCTTATTATGATTTGTGGTTTATGATGTGAGACTAGTGGAATACATTTGCAGTTTGTATCTGAAAAAAATATGTGGATCATCCATAGTTTTTCTCTAATATTTGTTTCTTCTTTACATTTCTTTTTAATTATGAAATCATATTTTCAACAGAACATGCATGCCCAATTAAAATAATTTAAACTGTGGATCTCATATGATGCACCTAACAAAAGGCTGATATCAAACTTTACTTTTGAACATAAAATCTCATACAATTGTTGCCTTATGTTCAATCAACCCTCAAAACAAATCACATGAAACATGTTTGATTATCTTATCTCTTTCATTATCTATTGAAATGGATGAATTGAACAAGTTCAAATACAAAGTACTTATCATTTGTCCAACTCACAATGGAAAGATCACCTTTTGACAACGAAAAAAAAAGTAAAACAAAGTTTGGAATAAGTCCCAATGATGATAAAAAAAAACTCTTGAACCAGAGTAAAGTATCAAGTAACTCACAATAACATGCACAAACAAATTATCACTTACCTTGCGATGGGGTACTAGGCAATCCTTCTTTCATGAGAGTCCAATTTGAATCAAGCTGTTGACTAGCTTGTAGAAAGTATCTCCCATCAGTCCACAAAAAAGCATCTTTTTCAGTTATGATCGCTGTTCCGGCTGAACCATCAAAACCTGAGATGAATGCCCTGAACATATCACATTCTGATAGATATTCACTATTGTGGGCATCCTTAGATGGCACTATGTAGGCACTTAAAGGCTCCGACACATATTTGCTGTTTTGCATGAAACCTCGTAACTGTTTCAAAAGTTGTGTTGTATTTTTCGAGACCATAATGATAGTTCTACAGTCGACAGCTGTGTCAACACTGTCTACTATTGAACTGGAATCCTATAATCTGATATTAGAAAAATGCAAATTTTTTATAATGATAACATTTCAAAAGAAACACCAACATGTGACATTTGTCATTTGTCACATTTGACATTTCTCTATTAGACTTCATTACGGTGTTGCCAAAAATAACCGCTTTCTCGTCATAACATAGAGGACTTCTTTTGGAATATATTATATAAAAAGGGTATTATTGAGTGTCTATGATTAAATTCAAAAGGGGAAGATTATTTGGAACAGCACTCAAGAAAAATAGATGGCAAACCACAAGAATACAGCACAAACGAACAAAGTCAGTAACAGGAGCCTGCCGCACTTTTGTGATTCTAGTTAGGAGACCTAGAATTTCTAGGATATCCTAACATTACCACGGAGGCAGCTACAGCCAATACCCAGAAACACGTGTCCGCGGATTGCTATCAATTTTTCATCTTATAGTCTATTTAGCCTAATAGTGCCCATATGGAAATATAAGACCCAAATATATTTCTATTTTTTTTTTTGTCAGTTTTGTCCAAAGTGTTACTCGCGACTTTTCTTTTGTACTTTCTGAAAAAAAATGCTATCAGGATAGTTTCCAGTTTCTAGAACTATCTAACCCGTGTTAGGAATCACACGTTGAAAAGTAAGACCTCGTTAGTCCTTAGCTCGCACAAGTTTCGACTTCTGAGGGTTGTCGTTCGTAGGGGTGCGACAGCTGGTTAACGAAAAAACAGATTTTAAACAGATCACTTCTAGGAAATTGTCATCTGAGGGTAAATTAAAGTAATCCTTCGGTTCATTTCCTAAAACAATAAGAAAATCTATTGAAAGGGAAATATTTAAAGTAATTGTAAGGTTTAACTAATGATTATCTCTGTTTCGTGAATGGTAACTTTTCAAAACTATCATCTTCTACTGCGAAAGTTTCTTCCGTGGTGTTAATTTTATTTATTTTTCTCAGTGATGTATTAGTAATAGGTTACTTGAAATTGTATATTATGAATAAAATAAACTTTATTATTATTATTATCCAAAATACCAGGAGTATCACCGTTAAGTATTAACGAAGCTAATTCTGAGTCATTACTGTCACTAGAACTACCAGGCTCAGCATCTGATTCCTCAAAGTCTGGCGATCATTAATATCTTTCGATTGGAGCAAATACGTCTCACATATAGTAAGGGGGTATACTTGAAGACTGGCTGCAAATCAAATTATCTAAAAGAACGATTCGGCCAGGCCAGTCTCAACTCACCAACACTGTAGGTTATTGGACTGACACATATCAGAAAACAACTACTCCCCTAGCTGCTTCGCAGAAGCAATTCCTGCATATGCTGTTGGTGATACAGCTGCTGGAATCGTTTTCCATATATTGGGATAGGGCATACTTGCAGACCGGTTTCGGGTTATATGGCCTGTCTTCAGTGCAAGGTAGTGTCCCTCATCAAGTTGAAGTCGATGATTTTCCATAATTAAATATCGAATTAGTTTCAGAGTATCATTCCTCAAACTAGGCTGAAGTGAACGATAAACAACATATTTGTCAACACTTTAGTTATGGATTTTCATCAAGTATCGGCCAATTCCATCATATGACTAGAACAAATTGTACTTTTAGATAATTTGATTGAGCAAATACGGTTCTAATTCTTCGTGTTTCAAAAGAACTTGTCGTTGATATGTTTTTTTGACCAATTTAGGCCCTTCCACCCCTGAAGGTCCTGCCTCAGTATCACACTTCGCAAAATTGAATGACACCAATTTTCAACTAATTCGATATGTATACGAGAGGCTGAAAAAAGCTGGCCATACTCTAGCGAAGGTTGATAATATGCTGTAAGCTAGACTGTAGTGGATGTCGAAAGACGGAAGCGGGGAATGTCTTTCAACGCAGTCCGCAGCGGACGTGTTAAAGGAGAAGTGATTTGGAACAGAGTAACAATAAACAAGATCATCAAATATAAATTTACTTTGTCATCGAACTATCAACTACAATACAAAAAATGTGATTTGTTATATAGAAAAATGGGTATGAGAAGTTAAGTTATGTAAGACTATAGATGTGATGGTTTGTTTGTCTAGTAACATTCGTCTATAATATTCAAAAGTATTATGTTCTAACAGTAATATGCATGTCTCTAAATAAACTGATACTTCTCTTAAAACTAAAATACAGTTATTGCAGTGTTAAAATTAAATGACAAGATAATGGATAAATGTACAAAAATGTCATGAATATAAATAATGAATATACTGTCAATAATAGTTCCAATGCAACATAAATTCGATAATTCAGTTCCTGTTGATCTCGGTGTGTTTGGAAGAACTCCTCCAAAAAATCTGATCGTGAAAACACCTCCAAGAGCTATTTTGTTGAATATTCAGTCGTTTAGGTACCTAAATTAATTGATTGCCTTTTTGTATCTATATACATATCACAAATTTGCCAAGTACTCATTATTTGTGACTCCAAATCAGAAGATGAATCAGTCCTTGAACAACTTGGAAATAAATCACTTCAATAATCGCATAATGCGACAAAAAATTTTGTTCACTATATCTAAAATGATATCTAGCTAAATTTTCATGAAAATCACTGTTTCTTAAATATTTCACTATCAAAGTATAGGATTTCTTTGTTAAATTTGACCATCGTAGCAACAATAAATGATGAATTATTGCCTAAATTGCGTTTGCCAGAAATTATTTACAAAACATATTCCGAACGTTCTTCCCTGAAATACTTTACGAAAAAAGGTGTCTGCTCTTTTCTGTAAGTCACTATTTAAAAAAAATTCGACTCTCAGGAAGGTGACACGAAAAAATGGCTTCAATACACATCTGAGAAGTTGAAAAAATAAATTATTATGAAATATATCTCAATTATGAATTGAAAGTTAAATTTTTATCAATACAGTAACTTCTAAATAAAAGTAGGAGGCAAGTTTTTGTAAGAATTTTCAAGGTTTATAAAAAAGTTTTGCATGGTGTTTGTATCATACCCTCGATAGTTTAAGAAATAGTTCTATTTTGAAAAGCAACACCTCTAAAAAAAATTTGGAACTTGTTTGCAGAAAGTTTGCTCAGTTGTCATATGATGATATTTTAATATATTTCTTTTTATGTTACATATGAGTCTTATGATTTGCATGTTGTTGAATATTGGATACTTCGAATGAGAAAAGACAAGACACCGTTTTTGTGAGAAAAAAAATCAAAAAGTAATATTTTTTTGAAAGATTACGGACTGCATTCACTTTGCGATCTTTGTGAAGTTGTTCAACATGTTCGAACGATCTCAACAATATGAATTTGGCACGAAAATCATCATGAAAATATTTGAAATGAATGTTGTATCAGGAACTAACATAACAGTTTTACAAAAATACTGGTTCAATATCAGACAAAATAAACACACTTAAATATCACATCTACTTGGATTTTCCTTAATTTAATTGTTACATTTACAGATATATTGCTCTTACTATTAGATGTGTTTTTGGTTTCGATATCCGTATAATCATTGAAATATTTATTAAAATCAATATCTTTTTTGAAGTCTTTTTTGGAGCAGCAGAACTTGCATGATGTCGACACGTCTACTAAAGTAATTCAACAACGCTGACTTAGTTTAAGTAATATTTGCATTGTATGTGTGAGAGCTGTTGGCAGTGCTGAATTCTCTGGATTTTCAAAGCAGTTTCGCTTTATATAACTTGATTTGCATATAGATAAATGTTTTCCTAAGTCCATCAAGTCCGCAACTCCAAAAAACTACAAAAAACTAAATACAATCCGCCATAATCGAATAAGTCTTTTCGTTGACTACATTTATATAAAAAAAACCAGATCAGTAAAGATGTGAGTGTAGTCAACAAGGAAACAAATAATCATCACTGACTTAGAGGTATGGCGATTCAGTCAAATTTCACATATCTTTCTATTCCACTCGGCCATTACATACATTACTAAACGCTTCCAGTTCTCATTTTCACATAAAGCCACAGCCTTTATCTATCAATAATCTTCAAAAAACTAATGATCGTCTAACTATCAAACCCTGTATATCAATGAGATTTAATACTGAAATGATGTGTTGACATTTTAATTTTGAATTTTTTGGGAGTGTGAGAAACTTATAATTATCACTGGTGCAACATATTCAATATCTTCAAGAACTTACAACACCCAATAAGTCCAATCTGTAGATTGATTTTTTCCCCAAGAATTTTATCTGTTCGACAGTCAACTGGAAAGAGTAAAAGACCCCCTGAAATTGAGATAATCTCTAGAAGTGGTTTTCTCAATGCATTACTATATCTATTGGAGTGGATAATCAAGGTTTTCAGCTATTCGACAAAGAAGTGTGGAGGTCCATTGTTTGCACAAACATTAAAAAGCTCTGTAACAGCACAGCATTGAAGGTTCAGCAACAATGCCATATCAGTCTGTGCAAACAATGGTGCCAACACTAAACTACCAAAACGTTCAACATATATTAATTTCTTCCAATAATTTTTGTTAAAGATAACTATCACATATCATCAATATCCTAATGTGATGTTAACACTAATCAAATCTACACTTTATAATAGCATCAAATAAATTTTGCAAATGAAAGAAATCAAAATGACTCATTACAATAAAAAACACTGTCAATTTGATAAATGTCAATTCGAAAATACGTAGCTCTAGTTGCTGCTTCCCGAAGACGCACTAGTGTTGTGCCCTGCATCTGGTTGCTTTTCGACATCCATCAGGAAGGTTACATAATGCGTTAGCCTTGTTGGCAGACAACCGGCGTTCAGCTGATAAAACTCGACTAGTTGCAAAAGATCATAGAATTTTGTTGCTCCGTTGTCTATGGAGAAGACGGCTCTGTCTCGGAGCGGATCCAAAATCGGATTGACTTGTGCGTGGATGACTTTACCACCACATTTGTAGGTTATCACATACGAACCTGGATTGGAACGACTATCACGGACCAGGAAAACTCTGAAACAAGAACGAATAATGAGATTTTGTTGAAACATATATAGAGTTTAATGACATGATCAAGTCCAAGAAGTACCCTAATACAGCTGAGGACTTTCTAATAATGGTAATCTTTGTTTGAAATAGAAAACAAACATCAAAACATTTTTAAACATATTCGCAATGATAATAAAAACTATTAGGTAGGACAGAACACAAGCACTACAGGAAAATCCTTGAGATGCTATCGGAGAGGTGCCTGTGTGAAAGCAGGAATTCACATTGGATTTGAATAACTGGAGATCAAATCCATTTGTAGAAAGGTTCTCAGGAAGTTTATTCCACATAAACGCAGTTCTCTATACGAAAGAGTTCTTAAACAGTGAAATTCGGGGTGTACTGAGGTAAACCTCAAAAGGATAAGCAGCCACAGTTCGTTGCGTATTTCTGATATGTACCGCTCTTATAATAATAATAATAACGTTTATTGTGCCAAAACAAGTTTTATACACAAAGGGAAAAGGGTTAGCCGGAGGCTATCTTCCACCCGTCCCATAATTAAGAAAAAAAATTTACAAGAAAATAGTACCCAAAATGTACCGCGCTAGCCTAGGCATGGCACATGCGCATAAGTCATTTCAGACCAAATGCCAGTATTGCCAAACGTGTGATAATGTTATCCCTATAAATTCGGAAAATATATGGAGTAAAAAATTTGCTGGAAACTAGGAAATGTGCCTTAAGAGACAGATCGTAATCAGAACATTCGATAAAAATCTGTCTTTTTTGAATTGAAGGGGTTATATTTTTAGGAGTGATTAATTTTTTGGGAAGAAAGTTTTTGGCTTTCTACTACTCCATCTGATACAAAAAAAGGGGATGAGAGAATCTTCCAAAGAAAGGAAGGAAGTAATTAAATTGCTCTTTCACGATTGCAAATGTGCAAACTCATCAAAATAAGGCAACCCACAACCTCAATAGGTACATATTATTTCTTTCAGTTCAGTTCCATCATTAATTTACTCACGAAAACAACTTTAAATTTATTGTTACGGTTCAATATCCAATATGCTGTTGTTATTTCAATTAGTATATAAAGAATTGAAAGAAAAACCACGCAAAACTGCATTTCTTGTATGCATATTGTTTGAACATGATGCATATAAAAACAAAAATAAAAAAAAATAACATAATGTGGGAACGGTTCCTGTTTCTAACATTTCTTGACGCGACTATAAGAAGTTATTTGGTTTTTATTATTAATTCAATCCGATTTATCAGACTAAACAACTTAACCTCAATCCTTATCGATATTTACAAGACGCGAATGAGAAGATTTATTATCTATTATATGTAAAAAAAATGGTTGATCTGCTTAACTAACGAACACGGGTTGCAAGAATATCTCCTTGAACCTACAGTCGTGGGTAGCAATCAATCATGCAACAATGTATCAACTGTATTATTTATAAGATAGGCGTGGTAAATCATTATGGCTTTACAGATTGAACGTAATAGCATAGGAAGGATTGGGTAATTTATACGTAGGTACCTATTAGGTGGTTAAATTGTAAAAGAGTTCAATCTTCACGACATAAAGTATAGAGGTGTTCGAGAGTTTCAACAAGTTGTGCATGCTGCAGATTATATCTTCAAACATTTATTAAAACGTTTCTAGTAACCTATTATCTTGGCAGAAGGAACCGGGAGATACGCCGTTTTCATTTATTTATTGTATTTTTGAAAGCTTTCGCACTCTCGTGTATAAAATTTAGTTTCACCTATCAATGTCTCCTCTGTTGATCATGGATCCCAATGAACTAACAGAGCTTCCGAATCTAATAATAATCAGGATGAATTCATTGACAAGGCAAGGCATATAAAGGGTTTTTCAATATGGATTTCCCAACTTAATGTAGGAGATGATGAGTAACCCTGGATCGGTTGAATGAGAACAGTCACAGCTAAGCATTCTTGGTGTCCACACGTGTGCCAGTATTGATAGTGATGGTTCCACGAAACGGGAATTGAAAAGATTGAAATCTGAATCGAAGAGATTGAAACAAAGGCAGGTTAAGTACACTCATCAAACAGGCGATGAGTTCCTTTGTTCGATCCGTCTCAAGATGACTCAGTGGTGGAACAATGGCTTGGTAGAGTCGATTATCTGGCTGCAAGATATGGTTGAGATGGTGATTCAATAATACGGCTGATATCGGGGAGGTTGAGAGGCAACGCACGGCAGTGGTTCGACGAAAATGCCAAATATGACGCAAGTTGGGAAGAAGTAAAACGTTTAATGAAACTTTAATTCCGTTCTTCAACTTCAAGTCTGTTCCATTTTCTAATTTGCTAAAGAGTGCTGCCAATTATGAAACAAAACCTGGTCAGAACTTAGGCGACTATTGTTTTCAAAAGTTGTCTCAATTTGGCAATTCTTAATGAATATTTAGTCGATGCTGTAATAGGTGGTATAACAGATGAAAATTCAGCTCGTACTGTTAGATCAGCCCAGTATACTGATGCTAATTTGTTATATGCTTATTTGAATACCATGGGAGATATGTCACCTCAAATTACAGTACCTAGTGCTAGTTACCAAACTCCTTCATTTAATAGTCGTCCTGTTCATCAAGACCAAACTAGGAAAAATTCCAAAGGAGGTTTAACTTGTTTTAATTGTGGTATTTCAGGACGTGTAGCTAGCTCACAAATGTCACGAAGCGGAAGATCTCAGAGGTTATAGACGCTCAAGAACAGTTATGTCTCCAGATCATCTTAAGAAATGGATAAGTATACAAGACGACCAAAAGTTAGTTGAGCAAACGTTGCTCTGTAGATAGAGAAGGTAAACGTTACCTTTGGTGAACGTCACCATTGAGCAAACGTTGCTCTGTAAGTATAAGAGGAAGATTAATCTTCCTCTTTGAAGATGATCACTTGGTGATCGAAACACGTGTCGAGGTGTTAAAAATAACGATTTGATGTTGGGAAAAAACTCCAGTAATATTAAAATTCATCATGATTTATGCGCCAGTCTTGGACATTTAGACGTTTGGGATGAGAAGCCGTGGCGGACATTTGAACGATGTTCAAATAAACGATGGTTTATACATTGTTTTATTTATGTGTATTCGCACATGTACATTTTTCAACTCTATAATGATGGTTCACTGTATATCATAATTTCAATATTTTTAAAAAACTTTAACATTGTTGACTGCATAAAGTTTCACCAGCTTTGTTAATAAGGATTTTTTGGATAATAAATCATGATTGATTGATTGACTGACTTGTGTCTGACTCTCAATACAGTTCATGTAATCAATATTGGAAATTTTCAAAGTACATTATTTACTGGCTATTTGCCTAAAGTGTTGTATTGTGCTCAGTAAATACAAACTGTTTCTGTTATCTTTTTCTGTCCTATTTTGTTAAATATACATATATTCAATATCTACTTGAAATTGTATATTATTCTATTGTTTATAGTTTTATATGACTAAGTAGCTAATATGTGTAATTTTGTTTGTTTCTTTTTTTTATTTAGATATTTTAACGAAGCTTTGTCAATAAGATATGCATCTTCAGACAATAAAGCATATTTTGACTCTGACTTTGTTATATTCCAAACATAATGGCATCAAAAGGTCTTTCAAACGAATAAAACATTTCGATACCTCACATACACTTTGTTATATTCAAATTCAAAGATAGAAAGTGCTTAATGAAAGCGTTAATGAAACACGATCAAGAAAATAAAGAGGTATATGCCATAGTCTCCATCCTTGAGTGATGCAATACGGCAATGATAATAAATCTATTGAAAACATTTCTCCCTCACCTGATGAAGGCAATTTGGTTAGCGAAACGCTCGTCGGTGACATCATTTTTGTTTCGGCGAGAAAAGTGTTTTTAATGAAAAAAAAAACATGATCGAGAAGGATAATTTCGTTAGTTAACAAAAATTAATTTGCCTCTTATGAAAATTTCAGGTAGATACCTAAGTTCTGAACTGAAGGAGAAATGAGCGTTTGTCACTAGACTAGCAACTATTGGTTATGACTCGCGAAACTGAGCCGCACGTCTAATCAACCTTGGCGTATCACGCACCTGACCAACCATTGAAGGAATATAATCATTGTTACTAAGCCGCTTATTTTCGACATTTTAAGCCGACAGATTTCTACCTGCGATATTCAATTCAGCATTGATAAATTATAGGCAGTGGAAATGTTCCACATGATATTGACTATACTGATTTCTTGACCATATCAAATAACAACTTCCAGGCCTGGATTTGGAAATTTGAAAACCTTGGGGATTAAACAGCGTCTGGAGTTTTGTATTCGACTTTTCGGCTCCCATTCTGGAGCCATTTTCAAGAATTTGATGTGACTTGACGTCGTTTCAAATTAACAATTTGGTCTTCATTGAAACGTTCACATGACAAAAGATGATCTTTTAGATATTTTAATTTGGCATCTAAATTAGACAAATTTTCGTTCTTCATGAGGTCAAACAAGTATTGTAGGGTCACAATCCTTACTCCTGATGCACCCTGTGAACTTAAAACAAGCATAAACTGAAAAATGTATCTAGCCGGATATATCCACATGATTTTTATAGTATTTATAAGGAAAATGATCAAATAATAGCCTATATTGAAAATAATAGCCTGATCTACCCCGATACATCAACAAAAACACTAGCAAATGAAAAATATTGAAGAAAATCACAGTATGAAAACGGGTTTTTCATTTAGAAAAAAAATTATGTAGTTTGATAGTTGATCATAAATTTATTTATGTAATCTGTAAGTCTCTTACCTTGTCCATCAGAATCCATAACTTTTAATTCGTAAGAAGAACTTGATAACATAAAAATAACTTTGTGAGTTGAATATATAGGTGCGCCGAGAATAGATACGTACACAAGATGACACGGTCAACTTCCGACTGACCCCACCGGTGTGGGGTGCGCGCTAGCAGGTAGATAAACCTTGGACATTATTCTCGGGTTCGTAATCTATTTGTGGATCTCGATTTGCCTACTCCACAGGTCTCGTCATGAGTTCTCTCTAGGGTCTCAATCTGCCTACTCCTTAGCTCGAACTTTAACTGAGGAGTATTCAATTCGTCAATGAGTATTCATTTTCATCAGCATAAAAATTGGGTGCTCGGGATTCGATGAAGTCGATAAAGGCGGTTTTGCCTGTTTGTGATTGGCGAAGGTTCTAACGGTGAGAAACTTATCGATGTGCTTGAAAGGGTGATAGTCTCATGGCGAGCAGTCTGTGGAGGATGGTGGGTAAGGATAACACTTCGACGCCCAATTCGTTCAATCTTCTATTGACCGGCTGCTACTGACTGAGGATCCACTTTTCATAACATGTGACGATCCGATCCAAAAAAGGATCGTTCTGGTGGTGCAAAAGCAGAGAAGAAGAGACCTCGAAAAGTGACAATTGCTGTCGATCGTTCAAATCATGGGGCACCCACTTTTCGAGCTTTTTGTCCTTTCCAATACGATTTGAACCATCAACAACCACATGGTATCTGACGCCCAGTTTTTCCGTCATCCAATGCAACGTTTGTGATGTGTCAGTTTCCACCAGGGTCATCAAATACTTGCCCTGGATTACTGTAGCTCGATCACTTCGGTGCTCATCTTCGAGGCTGAAATCTCCACTACAAAATTTTGCAAACCAACGTCGAACAGTGCGTTTATCAACACCATCATTGCCAAACGCCTGGTAATATTTCGGACTGTTTTGGCAGCGATTCGGTTCAATCTGAATTCGTAGAGAAAAATTGACCGGAAAATCGCTCTACAATATCATATAGTAACAAGCTGAAAAGCTTGTGCCACCCCGCAGGTTATATATCACCCAAAGAGAGCATTCTAAAAAACCTTTGGGTGGGGCTACCTATCGGGCGCGTCTCCAGGTGGCGGGATAGGGGAACGGCCAGGGAACTGGAGGTCCTGTCCGGGAAGCTAATGTGGTCTTACGGACGGGGTCGCTGGACTCCTGGTTAGTGGCAGAAATAAGTAGGATGAGGAGAACTAAAACCCCCAAAAGCCTTTGCAAAACATGCCACTGTGGACCAGCCTATTCAAGCTAAGGTGTAAGGAATCGCGCTGACATCTGAATTGCCGCAGGGTGATATGCGGTCACGAACGATCCCCTTGGGGAACTGAGCGAAACCTCATTGTGATCAGCGTACCTCTGGTAATGCGGGGCTCTGCCAGAGGTGGCCAACTCTTTCCTTGCTACTCTTGGGAACACACATGAATCAAACAACACAAAAACAGAAACAACAAAAACCAATCCCGAGGCTGGACAGAAGTGCTTACCTCAATCTAAGGCAGTGGCTGGGGATCAATCTGGGGATCAATCTACCGCTAGGAATGAGGTAGGACGTAGATCATTTCCAACAGCAAGGTTACTTTCTACGGCGGCCACCAAGAGCTCCGCTTTGCACAAAGGCAAGGAACCGGCTGCCCCTGCAGGAAAGCTCCCTCCCTTGTGCACCTCCACGAAGTGACCCCCAAGAAGGTTGAAGAAGCCGCGCAACGACAGTAATATCGCTGCACTTTCCAAAACCTTCGCGAATGCCACCGTGAGACACCTCAAAGTTGCCAAAGATAGTGGGTATTCGGCGAGTCTTGGTCTACACCTGCCAATATAAAGGAGATGACTAGGAGGACAACTTCTCGGAAAGATGTACAATGGGTCACATGTGGCCTAAGTGCGTGGGCTTACACTCACCCTCCCTACTGTACAGATACAGAAAAGACCCCGCTGCATAATGGCTGAGTGATAAGAGTCGAAAACGAACGGTTCACGGTTCTGAAAATAATCGAAGACTCACCCATCAACGCTTCCATGCTTGGCCACCAGCTCAGCCGCCTGGTCTCTGGGCAAGCCGCTGTGGAACCACGGCTGGGTAACGTGGATACCAGTATCGATGGAGTGTACGTAAGCGGTCTGGGTCTGGACGAGAGTGGAGGGAGCGGTCGTTCCCCTGATGGGTGCCCTCCAGCGTCGCTTCCACGAGTATCCTTCGGCGGCGGCGATGGCGGTCGCTTCCTGGGGATCCTCCACTATCCTCCCCACGGCGCCGGTGAAGTCCATGGCGACGCGGGACCGCACGGATTCCTGAAACAAGGATAGGAATATTTTGTATGAGGTTTGAATGTGGTACTTATTTTAAACAGTCAAACCGGTCTAGAACATTCAAATGCTGTAAAGTAAAAATCTTTCAAAATGCGCAGCCTTCAACTTTTCAACGTTTATATGTATTGAGGAAAATAATTCATACAATTCAATATCGTGTTTCAGCTGATAAGTTTAGCGGTCGAAACAACTACTTAGCTGCTGTTTCAATACCGCAATGAATGAAGTGAAAACTGAATGAATAAAAGGGATTTCCTTGTCATTCAAGGTTCGTATAAAATTACATAGTTATTCGAAAAAAACTTGTTCCTTTCGTGTAATTCTATGTTCGTGTGAAAGTAGTTGTTTCAAAAAGGAACATATATTTTTGAAGAATTTTTTGCAGTTATTTTCTTTCTCCCTTTCTTTGAAAGTGTCTCACATTTTTTGTTCAATAATGGAAAGGCAAAACGCCTTTTCTCATAAAACGAATCCCCCCCAAAAATATCAACTTTTCAAGTCATATAACTAGTCTAACAATACGCGAGTGTTGAAAAATGAATCTTCAACAAAAATAATCATCGTTGAAAATCATCAAAATAATTATAGATGTCAGCCCTCTTAAATAAAAAGTTGAAGGTACACTCTATCATCATCTCTTTTACAGCATTTTGGACATTATTTTTGTAAATTTTAGAAGCTGCACATCACTAAAACGTACAGATAACAAACTCTCAACGTAGATATATTATTTTCAAAAAATACCTGTCCAATCGACTTTACAATAGCAAAGTTAAGTAAGTAGCTACTCAAAAAATTACCAATCATAGCACTCAAGTTGAGTTGTAAAAATAATAAAAAAAGATAATCTTAGTTCAATTGAGCAGCGTCAATTTCGGATTTGTAAAAAACATAAGAGTGGAAGTATATATTTATCACCCTGTAGGAAGAGGTTTCTTTGTTTTGTAAAGTCACTGTCCAAAAAAATCAACACTGAATAAAATGTTAAAAACCCTAATTGCATTTCAATTTGTCGTAAATAAATAACAATCGCCTGAAACAGTGATATACGTGAATGCAGACAAAGTAAATCACATAAAAGACAGTGCTGTTTTTTCTGAATAGCAAAATTTACCCAAGAAAAACCAAAGTCAACAAGCAGTCCATGGTTCTTTTCCAACTAAATCGCTAGAATCTTGGTTTTATCTACTTTTTACACAACGCTCTCAATTTAATTTTACTAGTTCGGACTTGTATTGTCTAAAACTATTCTAATATGATTGGAAATCTGTGGCAGAACAAATAAAATTAGAATGGATAGCTGAAATATCAATTATATTAAGCAATAAAACGTGCAATAAAATGAATAAAATGACCACAGAGATCAATGGAAAATAATGAAGATTAAAAATAAATGAAAAGTTAAAATATATATATAAAAATCATATTAGACAATGGAAGTTGGAACTATAGTGAAATTCACCGTGAAACATTGTGAACCACTTTGAAACAAATGTTCTTAATTTATTCATGATTTTATTAAAATATAAAATTGACGACTTGGAATTTTTATTCAAGTAGCCTCAGTCTCGGATTCTGTTTTCAAAAAGTGCTGTAAGTATATACTCATAGTCGAAGAAAAAATCGTAAATTGAAATATCACAGCAGAGTGGCACCTATTATAGCACTCCTGCAACTGATGAATCCCTAAAAATACCTTTCTAGTTCAAATTTATCCATCAAAATTGAATTAAAAATACCTCTACTTTAAGATGCTTTCTGGAATACGATTTCCGCTTCGAACCTGCCGAGTTTAGTCCTCGATCTACATCCTTCACCGATGCACTATTCGTACAACTGCACAAACTTGCCATTTTTCTAGTAAGCTGACGAATTTTCTCCTCTACAGAGATATTCACTTTTTCGAAAACTTTCAAGCACGACGGAGCCATATTCAGAAGTGCCGGTCTTGTCCTGACAGGAATACTATGCACCACTGGATGGTCTGACACTCCACGTAGTCAACCGTCAGCTAACGAATGAACAGTTGAACACAAAGAAAGACAAACGCATCAGAGCCACACCAGGGGATATAAGCATATATAAAGTTGAGAGGGTGGGGAGAGAGTGAAATTCAGGCAACATTACCTACCCTAAATCTGACGACTTCACAGAGAAGGGCCTACCAATGTTGCCATCCAGAATAATGCATTATTCCCAGCGAAATTCTCCCGTTTCACTAGACTCAACTTGAGTATCTCAATATGTTTTAGAAGAATTTTTTGAATCTCCTCATAAATTCAGTGGAACTTTATAAATAGTATATCATAAATATACTTGTAACAAATACGAATAATCATAAATATACTTGTAATATATACAAATGGAATAAATATCAATTTTTCGAGTTGACCCGTTCAAAAAATAAAAGGGGGGGACATTAAAGAAATGCACTGTATACCTGTAAGTTCTCAAGGTTAGGACTATTATTATTCTCAAGAGAAATCATCATATTGTAAGAATCAAATGAAATTGAAGTAAAGGAAAAACCAAAAATGAATAAGATAGATATCCTATAGACTAATATTTTCGGGAAAAGGGTAGGAAATAGATATTTCGGAGGTCTTCCAAAACGTCTCGATATTTCTTTTTGTGGCACGAAAATACGCTCATGGAATTTTTTGAAAACAGTCATAGTATGGAAATATCGAAAACTAGAATAAGTCATATATTGATAGCAATATTAGTAACTTTTTGAATACCAATTGTATATCCTGGAGAAACAATTGCAAAACATTGTTATTCATTCAGTACATTCGATAGAACCATTGCAGCCGCAAGGTGGCGGTGCAAAACTCTAGGAAAAGAAATGAAATAAAACGGAAACAGTTAATCTTTTGAATAGTACGGAAACGAATTGAATAATTGAAAATTACTTGGGATGAAAAAATAATGAATTTAGATGCTGAATGATTATTTTTCTAGGCTTGAGCGTAATCAGGAAATACGATATTTTGGTTCTGTTTAAAATTGTCAAATGTCAGTTATCTAGTCTCTAGCATTATTTGTAGAACTGAAACCAAGATAGACCATTTGATGGTCTTTATTTTTTGTTTTAAATTCCCACATCTAAGCATGAACTCAGAAAATACTCAATCGGGCGTAAAATCATCACAATGTGAGAAATTCCTCACAAACTGGCAACATCGAGATTGGCAGTTATATTGAGGGCCAGTGTGGGTGAGATAGAGACAGTGGTGGCTCAGCATGAGATTGAAAAAACAGTACACAGATTAGAATCAATCAAAAACTCTCAGCATCATTCGCTGCAGGTGGTCAATTCATTTGAATTGTTTACTACCCCCTTGGCAAAGGCCAGCAGCATGACATTTGGTTGATATGTGATTTCATACTGCAAGCATATGCAACTTCATTAAATTTTTTCCAAAGAGCATGAAAACAAATAATATTTTGGAATGCTTTTTACGTTGCTTCTTCTGTTTGAAAAAATCTGTTTAAAATCTGTTTTTCTGATAATCAGCTGTCGCCTCCATACAACGACAACTCTCAGAAGTTGAGAAACTTGTGCGAGCTAAGAACTAACGAGGTCTTCTTGTTATAAAATTCAATAATATAACTCTCATCCTTCACAAATGAATCTCATTTCATAATATTTTTGAGTCACGCCACAAGTGCTAGCAATTGATAAATTATTGATTTTGCTATTCTTGTACTAGTCAGCGTTGAATAATAGTTGCAATGTGATAAGAGAAGTGAAATTTCGAGTTATGAAGAGTAAATACTAAAGGCCAAGAATATTGCCTTGGAGTACAACTTATTATATAACCAGACTCTCAGAAAATGCTTCTTCATTTTGGACCTATTTTCACGATTTAATACGTATGATTCAAGGCTTCTTTGAAAAATCATACACAGGTAGTGCAGCAACTGAAAAATGCTAACGCACTCGATTTTTTGAAGACACTGAATTGTTGCCAGTTTGCGGTTAGACTCAATTGTCGAAACTGAAAAGTTGCCGGTGTTCGGCTAGTCTTAACTGCCGAGACTAAAAGAATCTGTTGAAAAATCAATTTTTCCGTTGACCAGTTGTCGCCCTCTTTGAACGACAACTCTCAAACGTCGAAACTTGTGCGAGCTGAAGACTAACGAGGGTTGAACGATAGGAAGTTAAAATCGATCGTCCGACCTTGCGGTTCGAACCACCGGTTTACACAGCGGTTGACTGAGTGAATCAAATCACCTACGTCAACCCACCAGGCTACCATACCACCAGTTATCAGTATGCGGCTAATCAATCGCCAGAACTAAATTGGTGTCACTATGCGGCTAGTCTTAGTTGCCAATACTAAAGAGTTGCTAGTGTGCGGCTAGTTAGGCTTCTTTGAAAAATCCTACACAGGTAGTGCAGCAACTGAAAAATGCTAACGCACTCGATTTTTTTAAGACACTTAATTGTTGCCAGTTTGCGGCTAGTCTCAATTGTTGAAACTGAACAGTTGCCAGTGTGCGGCTAGTCTCAACTACTGAGACTAAAAATTCTGTTGAAAAATCTGTTTTTCCCTTAACCAGTTGTCGCCCCTTCGAACGACTACTCTCAAACGTCGAAACTTGTGCGAGCTGAAGACTAACGAGGGTTGAACAATAGAAAGTTGAAATCGATCGTCCGACCTTGCGGTTCGAACCACCGATTTACACAGCGGTTGATTGAGTGAAGAAAATCACCTACGTCAACCCACCAGGGCTACCATTCCACCAGTTATCAGTATGCGGCTAATCAATCGCCAGAACTAAATTGGTGTCACTATGCGGCTAGTCTTAGTTGCCAATACTAAAGAGTTGCTAGTGTGCGGCTAGTCTCAATCGCCAGCACTGAATTGTTGTCAGTTTGCGGCTAGTCTCAATTGACGAAACTGAAAAGTTGTAAGTGTGCAGATAGTCTCAATCGTCAGCACTGAATTGTTGTCAGTTTGCGGCTAGTCCCA